GAGCTGGGGGGGGGGGGGAAGCGAAGGTTAAAAATGGGGGGCCCCCTTAATTATTAGTGACGGAGAGCTGGTCACAGAATAAAGTAATATGAGGCGAATTTAACTACTCCAGCATGAATATTTGGCTTCAGATATTTTCAATGGGGGAACGAGCACTCCTTCCCCCCGGATTGCTCAATTTAAAATGTGATTGTATTATTGACAGGAAAGAGTAGAAGTGCATACAATTAGATTAATTATCCTTAATATTACAAAGAATCATAATTAAAACTCATGAGTACGTAATTTAACTTTCTTCCCATTCTTAAGAAAATCAATAATGAAAAATTCCCGTTTTGTTTAAATCTGTGAAAGTGTCGCCAATCTTCAACGTGCCAAATGAAATTTGGGGGTCATCCATTCCTGTCATCATTTTCAGGAGAATTACAAAACATAGGCTTGAAATTATTTTTCCATTGCTAAATTACCTAAGGAAAAGCATAGAGTACTGCTTCTTGTTATATAGACTGTGGGCAGGGGTGTATCACAGCCCCCCTCGTCATGACAGCAAATTAATTTCACTAGCGAGTTAAAATATTACAAATGGCTATTAAGTTTTCACTAGAATATAGTTTTTTTTTTTTTTTCCACTGGCCAGTTCTGAATTCTCAATTTTCACACACACACACATCCCTCCTTCCTCCAAGGACGAAACTGCCTATACCCCTGCCTATGTTGAAAATGAATTTTATTAATAGATATTCAATGCAAACAGGTTGAAATTGCAAACCTGACATTTGATATTAACACCATCATCTTCACTACCAAGGGGTGGATTTAGGGAGAAGCGATTTAGGGGAGGGGAAAATCGGACTGGTCCTCTCTAAAATTTAGAAATTTAAAAAATAGAAAAAAAAGAACCATCTAATTTAAATTTGAGAGTGCCATTAATTACCGACTGACCATCTACCATGTGCAATTATAGTCATAAAATATTGTACCAGAACAGCAATTGTGAAAGTGGTTTGGACCCTTCATTTAAAGTTCCCTACATGGGCCCCTCTGTTTTTAATTTCCAGATCCACCACTGCTAACAACATCAATATATGCTAATAGCCCAATTACACTGTCTAAACAAGTTTCATCTTTCAAATCAGATCTCACACATGGTAGAATGTATGTTCATAGCTTTCAACACATTTTCACACAAGTCAAAGTCGATATTCCAAGAAATAAGTCATGCAGTATGAATCACCTATGTTTTACTATTACTGGGACATTACTGAATTGAGCAACTGAGAGTAAAGGGATTATTACAGCTTAAATTATATGAGATAGACTTGATAAAAAAAAATGGATGCATTGGATTTTGGATTTGGAAAATAGAATGCATAAAATAAGATTAACACTACAATACAAAGAAGGTCCATTATAAAACCAGTATATTGAAGCCCCATTCCGGTGCAAAATTTCAGTTGTTAAGAAAAATCTGATTTTTATATGTGTTATAAAGATTTATAAATATAATACGAAATTGCTAGTTTAACTAAATTTATAACATCAAAACAATGTAAAATAAAACTGAAATTAGATTTTTTGTGTTCCACACAAAAAATGAAAGTGGATGAATTTTTTATTTATCACATAAAAACGGCTGACATATTTTCCGAATCTAGTATTGACACTTGTGAAATATAATATTTCATAGGAATTATTTCAAATCTGTTAAAAAATGATTCTGACCAGGATTTTGACAATTACACATATCTCAGGCCTTCTTGATTGACCTCTGTATTCTCATCACCATTATTATCATTATGTTTATTATCACAATCATCTTTATCACATTCACCTGAATATCACTATGTTTACTAATAATACATATGTTACTGGTTAATTTTAGGATAGTTTATTGGTTATTTTTCTATTTTCCATTTAGTTCATGCAAGTTTTAATTAATGCAAGTCAGTATGCAAGTTGATTTCCATTTCCATCATCTTTTATCCCCAATCCTTATCATTATCATCCCCATTAGCATCAATAACAATGTTCAACCTTATTCATCTTCATCATAATATTAACAATTAAAAATAGTAGACTTATAGAAAATATAACTGAATTATGAACAATAACGGAGGAACATTATTGTTACCATCTTCACCATCATTTTCATTATTGTCCAATTTACGTTTTGGAGATAGACAGATACAGTACATACTATTTACTGCAGTAGAGAATTACAGCTTATTTACTAAAGTAAATTACAATGTATTGATTTACTAGTTTTCAAAAATGCACAGATTCTATGAATTCTGAAAAAGATGATGAAAGTATTATTATGGATATAAATATTTTGATTGCCTCAGTGAGTCATCATGACTTGAAGCAAATTTTCTTTTTTCTGATGACCTAACATATGTTGGGGTCAGCCAACAAAAGCAAATGTGCATCGCCATGGTAACTAATGTTCATCTACTATTAAATATCTAATGTGCCAATGTAGGATGCAGCATGATATATAGAGTTGGTTAGAGTATTTATAATTATTCACATTTTTATGATTGAATGTTTATGCTAAGACCAACAGATGGCAAGTTTCTATATACTTTTCTCTTTCTGAAAGGAAATTTTAAGTTTGAGTTCGAAGTTTTAAAGTGATTTTGTATCATATGTATTTTTTTTTTTTTTTGCCTAATTAACTTTAAATATAGTAAGGGTTACTTCAGAGATTGGCAGGGCCATTTTGTTTGCATTTTACTTCATTGAAGCATCATTTTCTGATAATGCTTTGATGAGGGTGGGGTATTGGATGGGGTGGCCTTGTTAATTGTTTGTATAGCATTTTTTTTTGTAAATAAATTCTGCGTAGGACTACATCCTGATTAATTTTTAACTTGTTTAATATCTCTCTCTATATTTTTTTAGTACTGGATGTCATAAGATTCATGTTAACATAATTTTGGAAACACCTTTATCAAGTGTTCTACTTATTATTATTATTATTATTATTATATTATTATTATTATTATTATTATTATTATTATTATTATTATACCTGTGTACATTAAATGTATTGCTAGATAATGAATAATGTATAGCTTATCTTAAAAAAATATTACAAATTATGAAACTTTTCCAGATGTTCTATGCATGAATAACTTTTGCAAAAGTAACTGTTCGATCATAGAATAATTTATATTATTCTTTATTCAAAATGATGTAATAATAAAAGTAACCATAATAAATTTATATACCAGCAGTAGAGGTGTTTACCAATGATAAAATTAAAAATTCTATAAATTTAAATAGTAGTTTTTTTTTCTCATTTTAATTTTAAATTTGAAAGTTAATAACTTAAATAAATTTAGCAATTTTTGTTTGTAATTTTTAGGTTCATATTATTCGATATAGGTGTTTGAAAACTATATATATATATAAATATATATATATATAAATATATATATATATATATGTCATAGTGAAGAATGGTTACATTATAGGATTAACAGTACAAGGACATTAAGATAACCAGACCCATTTGTAAGCTAATAACAAGGCAAAATCAGGATATGCAAATAACATGAGCGAGGACACTTATCTCCCAAATGACCTGCGGCATGGCCACTGATATCCAGCCAAAATTACCATCCTCTAAATAGGATTATAAGCTCAAGAGCCAAATGCTCTCAGAGTAATAAAACCTCAAAGGAAAATTACAAACATTAACCTGTAACGATTCATGTCTATAAAAAGTGTTACATCTCATAAAATGAAGCAATATATAGTAACTAGTCGAAAAAAACGACAAAATGGAGTCTTCCAAGTTCGACCATAAGTAGGCCATTATATCAAATATCGGGCATCTCGCTTGTAATAAAGTCTCCTTTTGAAACAGCATCTTGGGGAAAAAAGAGTGAAATTTAAATTGTTGAATGGATGGATTTCATTTTCTCTGAGATTTTTAATATTGCTATATATTATTTATTAACATGCTTTCCATTATTTTTTTTATTACATTTCAGAGTGAAGTATATCTTAATTCAATGTTTTGTTTCTATTACTATATGTATTTCTATGTATGCTTTAAAGTTAAAGTTTTTCTGAATAAATTTTAATTGAAAACAAATTCAATTTAATTCAAATTCAATTCAAAAATCTTTATTTGCAAATTTAAGAAAAATTTGAAA